CATGTTTGTCTTTTTGTGATTGGGTTACCTCGCTCAGAATGGTTTCTTCGAGTTCCATCCATTTTCCTGCAAATTTCAAGATTCCATTGTTTTTTCCTGCTGAGTAGTACTCCATTGTGTAAATGTACCACATTTTCTCTATCCATTCTTCGGTTGAGGGGCATCTAGGCTGCTTCCAGTTTCTGGCTATTACAAATAATGCTGCTATGAACATGGTTGAACAGATGTCCATGATATATGAATGTGCTTCTTTTGGGTATATGCCTAGGAGTGGAATTGCTGGATCTTGTGGTAGACTCATTCCCATTTTCTTGAGGAGTCGGCATACAGATTGGCTGTACAAGTTGGCACTCCCACCAGCAGTGGAGGAGTGGAACTTGTTTCTTACTATCCTATGAAAGTAGTATCAATCCCAGTGTCACTATAAATATTCAATGATACAAGCTGGGCATAGTGGCTCACATCTGTAATACCAGCACTTGGGAGGCAGAGGCCAGTGGATCTCTGAGTTTGAGGCCAGCCTGGTCTCCAGAGTGAGTTCCAGGACAGTCAGGGCTACACGGAGAAACCTGTGTGTGTGTGTGTGTGTGGGGGGGATCAAACCAACCAATCAAACAACATTGTGCAAGTGCTGTCTATAGCACATGTCAGGTTTATTGTCTCGCTCACAAATGTTTGGCCATTCTGTGCAGGAGCAGCTGGAGGAGATGGAGGAGAGACAGAGGCAGTTACGGAGTGGAGTGCAAGTCCAGCAGCAGAAGAACAAAGAGATGGAGCGGCTGAGGATCAGCCTTGCTGAAGAGCTTTCAACATATAAGTCAGTTTTCTCTGCTTTCCAAGACTCATCTACAATCGACTGAGGATGGTGGGAGGGCTCAGGGAATATTTTATTTAACGAAAGAAAACAAAATCATTTGGGGGAAATGACTTTCAAATTGTGTCCACCTATGAACAGTTAGAAAACGGCTCTCTCTTTTTCAAGGGCTACGATACCCAAGAGTCTGGAACAGGCTGACACAGCTACTTCTCAGGCAGGTGGAGCCGAGGCCCAATCCCAAGGTGATCTTTGTGGGTAGATGACAATGGTGTTTGCTGGTCATCACTGCATTCCTAACAGTACTAATTTAATGCCTTATTCTGGAGAGCCTGTAGCCTTGCTTGGGATCCTCTTACCTCTATCTGCATAATTACAGGCATGTGCCTCTGTACCTGGCTACTTAAACTCTTCTATTATTATTTTTAATGTATGTAATCTCATGATATAGTTGAAGCTGGCTTTGAATTCATGGCAGAACTCCTGGCCTTAGCCTCCCAAGTACTGCCTCTAAATTTATCAAATATCAAATAATTTAAGGATGGTACATGTCTCAAATATACCTAAGGTCAAGCAGAATTGATTTGGAAATTTTTATAAAGTTTTTCAAGATATGGTTTCTCTGTGTAACAGCCTTAGCTGTCCTGAAACTCTCTTTGAGAGCAGGCTGGCCTTGAACTCACAGAGATCTGCCTGTCTCTGCTTCCCAAGTGCTGGGATTAAAGGCACAAGAAAGCTTTAATTTTTAATGGGACTCAAAATTACGTTTGCTGAATCTCACCACTAATTGAGACAGGGTCTCACAATATGTAGCTTTGGTTGGCTTTGCACTCACAGAGATCTACTTTCCTCTGTTTTACAAGTACTTGGAGTAAGGGTATGCACTACCATGATCCTTTTTTATACTGTTCTGTTTTGAGACAGGGATTCTCTGTGTTAACAGCTTTGGCTGTCCTGGAACTCACTTTGTGGATCAGGCTGGCCTTGAACTCTCTGAGATCCAGCTGCCTGTGCATCCCAAGTGCTGGGGTTAAAAGTATATGCACCACCACCACCACCCGGCAAGAACTTTTATATGATAGACCCATCATCTAGTGGTCAGAGATGGCTCAGCAGTTAAGAGCACTGATGAGGACACAGGTTTGGCTCCCAGAACTCACATGGCAACTGACAATAGTCTACAACTCCAGTTCTAGAGGATCTGATGCCCTATTCTGGCCTTTGTAAGCACCAGGCACAGGCATACTGACAGGCATAACATTCGTTCACACATAAAAATATTTAAAGCAAAAAGATCCAGGCTCTAGATACACCCTTTCCTCAACCCTAGCAGTTTCCATGGTACGGCACAAAAGACAACCCTATTGTCAAACTAAAACTGACAAAAGAGGCCAACATGAGTAAATTACATATTAAAAAAAAAATTGAGGATATTCCTAGAACCCAAACTACTTACTTAGTCAATGTATAAAATAATCAACAGTCCTGTCCATTCATTTCTGTCTATGTCAGAATGAGTTTGTATGGGTACAGAGACCACGGACTGCAGAAGCTAAAGGCAGTTACAAGATGCCCCATGTGGGTGTCATGCATTCAAGTCTGCCTGGTTAAACTTAGAACCTGCCTCAAAAGGGCTGGGAGAATGTAGCTCAGTGGTAGGTTGTTCGCTTGGCACTATGGGGCCCTAGTTTAATCCCAAGTATTGAAAACAAAACACACTCGCTGGGCGGTGGTGTTGCACACCTTTAATCCCAGCACTTGGGAGGCAGAGGCAGGCGGATCTCTGTGAGTTCGAGACCAACCTGGTCTCCAGAGTGAGTGCCAGGACAGCCTCCAAAGCCACAGAGAAACCCTGTCTCGAAAAACAAAACAAAAACAAACAAAAACCACTAATGGATATAACTCAGTAGTGAAGTGCTTGTCCAGCAAGTATGTGACAGCAAGTTCTATAACCAGGAAGGAAAAACAAATACAAGTCTGCCAAAGTTGTGTACAATACAGATGTCTATACTTGTTATGTTCATTCCTAGTTAAATTTGGATAGAAACTGGCAATTACCTCAACTGATTGTTTCTGTATGATTCTGGATTTTCCTGTATGGTTATGCTGATCACCTACAGGTTATAACCCTGCAATTGAGGACAATGATCTGATGACCATCTTTGTATGGACAGGAAAAGGATAATCTAAACAGAGGATGAGAGCTGAGGATGTGGCTCAAGTTGGAGGAGTGCATGTGTGGCACGAAATCCCTGGGTTCAAGTCCTACCACTGCATAAACTGGGTGGTGATGCTTGCCTGTAACCTGTGAGATGGGGGCAAGAGCCATCCTTGACCATGAAGAGTTCCAGGATAGCCTGGCTAAAGGACTTTCAGAAAGGAAAGATCGAAGTTAGAGATGGCTCAGCGCTCTAGAGCACTTGTTCTTGCAGGACCCAGGTTTGATCCCCAGAGCCCACAGGGAGGCTAACAACTGTCCAGAATTCCAGTTCTGGGGCATCTGACACTCTTTTCTGGCCTCCTCAGGCACCAAGCACATGCACATCCAGGCAAAACACTCATATATTGGGCAGTTGTGGCACACACACCTCTAATCTATCGCTTGCTCTTTTTCCAAGACAGGGTTTCTCTGTAGCTTTGGAGGCTGTCCTGGAACCCACTCTGTAGACCAGGCTGGCCTCAAGACTCACAGAGATCTGCCTGCCTCTGCCTCCCGAGTACTGGATTAAAGGCCTGGCTGGCTTCACCTTTAACAAGGCAGAGGCAGGTGGACCTCTGAGTTGGAGAGTTCCAGGACAGCCAGGGTGACATTGAAACCCTGTCTTGAACTCCCCCCCCCCCACCAAGAAAAAGAACAAAGAGAACTTGTTGCTTTGTTTATTTCATTTGCAGTGGTATTTTGCCTGCATTTATGTCTGTGTGAGGATGTCAGAGCTCAGGGTTACAGACAGGTGTGAGCTGCCATGTGGGTGCTGGGAACTGAACCCTGGCCTTCTGGAAGAACAGCCAGTGTGCTTAACCACTGAGCCACCTCTCCAGCCCCATTTGTTGCTTTTGTAAAGGACCATAGTTCAGTTTCCATCATTTTCATTAAGCAGTCTCCAACTCCTATGACTCCAGCTCGAGGGACTATGGAGCCTCTGGCCTCCAAAGACAGACACAGGTACACACATGCACAAAACCTTAAAAATAAAATTGGGGGGCTGGAGAGATTGCTCAGTGGTTACCAGCTTGCTGTTCTTGCAGGACTGTGGCTCAGTTCCCAACACCCACACGACAGCTCAAAAAAACAGTGTAACTCCAGTTCTAAGGGAACCAATGCCCCTTTCTGGCCTTCATGGGCTCCACCCCTCCCCAACAGAAAAAGAAGCCTAAAAACTAAGGAATACCAGGCACTATAATACCTGTGTGAAATTAAGCTGTCACAACATACTGGTCTTGGATACATGGTCCTGCCTCAGCCTCCCGAGTGCTAAAGCTGTAGCCATCTGCCACCATGTCTGCTTACTTTACTCCCTCACCCCATTGTCACACAGGCTACTATTTATTCTGTCGTATTTTAGCCAGGTATGGTGGCACATGACTGACTTTAATCTCAACACTCAGGAGCAGGTGGATCTCTGAGTTAAAGGCTGATCTGGTCTACATAGTCAACTTCAGGCCAAGCAAGGCTACATGGTGAAATCAACAAAATCAACCACACTGTAGAAATCTTTCCACAGTCTATCCTAAGAAAATCTTGGAAGTTCATTGTTAAAGAAGTTTCTAGTGTATTATTTCAGATTGTAGAAAGTGCAAACTTAACTGTATTTCTTTTGATCTTACAGGGACTGTTTAGCAATATATGGCCGGATCTGTGACCCAGAAACAAAGCATTTATACCAAAGCATTGCTAGATGGACTTTTCCTCAAACAGGAAAGAGTGCCCACAGATGGCCAAGCAATTCACCCTGTGAAAATTATACACTGGTTGGCTTGCCCAAAGAGATTTTAGGGTTGGCTAGAAGCAAACACCAGCCAACTTTTATCTGGATTCTTTTCTGTGGGCTGCTGGTACTGATCTCAATGCACCGTGGAATGGGAAAATGAGCTTCTCATCTTTCAGAACACCGAGTAATGGATGTATCACATGCTGCAACATGTGAAGATTATTTATTGCTTTGGGCTGACCCAAACCAAGACTATTTAAGGGAAAACAATTGGGGTCAAAAGACAGCCAATTTTTGCTTTATGGATCCACAACTTGAATTCCTTTGCACTATCAGTATTAGCTTTTAAGTGACTCCTTTCACAAAGCCATTTTGTCCTTAATGTCTGCACTCACATAATTTACTCTGAAAACAGTATCAAGATAGCCATTTTTTTTTTTTTTTTTTTTGGACACAGGGCCTCACATATATAGCCCTGTCTGGCCCTGAACTCATACAGTGCTGAGATTAAAGACATGTTGGGCTTGTTTTTATTTTTTGGGGGGGACTTATGTAGATCAGGATGACCTTGGGATTCTGATCTTGCCTCTAGCCACCATCTACTGGGAAGTGACCCAAACACCCTCCCCCCCCACACCCAGGGTATCACCATGTAATAATGATGTGTCTTAGAATGCATTACATAGACAAGGACTGGGATTAAATAAGTGTACCATTACACCCAGCCTGGTAACTTTTACTACACACTAAAACAATGAGAATAGGAAATCACTTCGGGTTTGAACCCAACACGTCATTATTCAGACTTTCCAGAAAATCATAAATGGCTTTGGAGGTGAGAGTCAGCTAGTCAGTTCAAGCAAAATCAGTCATTTTATCTGGTTATCAAATGTGGTGATAAAGGCGCTCAGACTTTACCCATTAAAAAAAGCAGGGGTCCCAGTGAGAAACAATGGACAGACAAGTACTCTGTAACCCAGTTCAAGACTCTTTCAAACTTATACTCTGCCTTAAGTCTCTTATCACACTGCCTTTGACATCTTGGAAACTTGTGTTAACTCTCTAGGGAAGACTTCAAAACTATGTAATTTTACCAAGACTAGTTTGTGTACTGTTTGGTAATGCTTTCACTTTCCCTGGCAGGAGTAAAGTTCTTTTTCTTTTTTTTTATGGTTCTGGGTCTATTATGTTTATTTTAATCTTGATGGTCAAGACCTTGGAAAACAACTGTCATCTGAACAAACTCCTTGGGAAGCCAGAGACTGGTGTTTGATGGACATTAAATAAAACTCAGCAGCACAGGGCTTCATAGAAAAGCAATTTATTCCATTATAAGCACTTACACAGTTAGTCATGGAGAGTAACAGGCCTGATGGTGAGACAGGTTAACCAAACTGGAGATGGCATCAAACTATAGTGGTCAAGGACTAACTCCTAAAAAAGCAACTTTTATCAAGGATTAATTTAATTTTAAAAACAAATACAAACTAGCAATACACTCTTTCTCAACTTGACAGTCACCAGTGGTACTGACTGTCAGTTAAAAACATACATCTTACAACTTGGTGGTCCCAAGTTCAAAAAAACAAAACAAAAAACCGCACAACAAAACCATTTCACAGAAAGGAAAAGAATAATATGGAAACAGCTCAAGAAATACACTAATGAGCAAAAATATAAGGGAAGGAGGAACGTGTGGTCTTAACTAAAGAAACCAAGAGTCTGGTTTACATAGGCAAATGTGCATCCTGGAAAGCCAGGTGAGAGGACCTTAAACTCTATGACTTGAATCTCCCCTAATTCCTGAATAAAAATGACATTTTGCAATATTTATACTCATGGCTCAGACACCTACTTCACTTGGCTCTAATTACTTATCCATTCTGGCCTCTTACCTGAGAATCTGAAAAACTTAGGGCTATAGCTTAAGAAGAAAAATAATCAAAACATAATACGCCCCATTTCTGAAGCTACTTTAGACCTGGGTTTGTTACTAGAAAATTCCTGAAGAAAATTTAAATATAAGTCTGTGGCTTTGTTGAATTAAGTCCCCCAGTTAAGATTTAGAAAACACCCATGGCTTGGGCTAATAGTATTGTTGGTGGCACCTATTATAGCTGGATAGCTTAACAAAGTCTGTGTCTCAAACCAGTGTTAAATCCACCTCAGGGTTCAGAAGAAAACAAGGGGAGTCTAAATCACAAGTGCAGACACGGACACATCCTATGGTTTAGACAGGGGCAATCGCCAAGACAATCCTCTTTGGCCTGCCAAAGTGTGAGAAAAGGGTATTTAGCATGAAGACAGTTACTTCTTGACCTTTCCATAATATATTATATTCCATAATATATTATATTCCATAATATATTATGGAAAGGTGCCTGATAACAATGTCCCCAAATAACATTTCAAAGAGGGACTTATAGTTTTAGCCATTCAGTGCTACTGCTGAACTAAAACAGCAACAGACAATGCACGAACGACATGAATCATAAATGGGCACATATGTGTTCAGTGAAAACAAGGAGCAGGCCACAGCTCTGAGTACAGGGCATTTTCACAAAGTATGGACGATCATCATTCCTGAACCCTATAACCAGATATATCACTGGTAATAGCTAAAATATAAACCAGAGGTTTCTATCATATACACAAAGTGATACTTATGACCACACACGCGCCCCTCCGTTGATGAAATATATAAAAGTCTAACACCAAATGTGTGGTTATTTCTCCCACCTCTGGATACTAACTGGGTAACCAAGAACCCTGTCACATCAACAATCATCAACACCAACATCATCTCAGAGAATTGTTGAAACCCCAGATCTGCAGTCTCAGTCCCTCTCTCACACCAAATGGAAGAGATAAACACAGGAGGGAGCAGGGCATTCACACTACTTGTCTCCTGGCAACCAGAATCTGGATTCTCAAACTACCAATTTTTGGTTGTGCCAAGATCACAGGGCAAGCCAAGAGCTTAATCTGCCACCCCACTGGAGAGGCAGAGAGTTTCAAGCGGTCAATTTTTAGCACTTACGCTGACTAGATCATGAGGCTATGTAGGGGTCTCACCAAAACCTTAGTATATGCACATATCCCACAATAGAGGTAGCAACCCCGGAGGGAATCTAGTTCACAACTCTGCAACCTTTTCTTTTGGCCAACCCCCTTTCCCCGCCCCAAGTGCAACCCGGTTTCTCTGTGTAGCTCTGGTTGCCCTTTAACTAAAACTAGGCAGGTAGACTGCTATGAATTAAAGATTCCACACTGAGATCCTTTCTCAAATGAATACAGCAGCAACACAACCCTTTACTGGAGACCAGAGACAGCTCAGTGGTAAAGGGCACTTGTTGCTCTTGCAAAGGATCCAGGTTCAGTTCTTTTTTGTTTTGGCAGGAGTGGGTGGGTGGGGTATTTCTGTGGCTTTGGAGGCTGTCCTGGAACTAGCTCTTGTAGACCAGGCTGGCCTCGAACTCCCAGAGTGCTTGGGATTAGTGGCATGCCCCCCGGCTAACTGTCTCTATTTCTAATACTATTTTTGTATCCCCACCCCCACCCCCGTCATAGTCAGGGTCTTATTCTCACAACAACCTTCCTGCTTGTGCTTCATGACTGTTGAGATTACAGGTAGTATTTTTGAAATCTAATAGGATGATATATAACTAGACCCAGAGGTGAAGAAACTTGAATTCTTGTAGCTGTAACAGGTAAGCAAAGACACACTGGTGCTACAGCATCACAACTATAGTGAGGAGGGCAAAGGGGGAATAAACCACAGTAGATCAGTTTTTATTAGCTAAACTAAAAACAAGCAGTGGGACAATCAGATAAAGGAAAAGTGTAAGCAAGCCGGACGGTGGTGGCGCATGCCTTTAATCCCGGCAATCAGGAGGCAGAGGCAGGCAGATCTCTTGAGTTTGAGGCCATTTTGGTCTACAGAGTTCTAAGACAGCCAGGACAGAGAAGTTGTTCAAAAAGACCAAAAACAGGGGCTGGAGTGATGGCTCAGAGGTTAAGAGCACTGACTAGTCTTCCAGAGGTCCTGAGTTCTGGCTCACAACCATCCGTTATGAGATCTGGTGCCCTCTTCTGGTGTGCCGACATACATGGAAGCAGAATGTTGTTTACATAGTAAAAAAAATTTTAAAAAAAAAAAAAAAAAAAAAATGGCTGGTTGGTGGTGGTGCAGGCCTTTAATCCCAGCACCCAGGAGGCAGAGGGAAGCGGATCTCTGCGAGTCCGAGGCCAGCCTGGTCTCCAGAGAAGAGTGCCAGGATAGGCTCCAAAGCTACACAGAGAAACCCTGCCTCAAAAAAGACCAAAAACAAAACAAAACCAAAGCAACGAACTACCAGAGAAAACTACACATAAAAACACAGCTGAGGAAAACAGGGCAGAGATGGCAGTTGTATCCAAAGTGTGTGAGGTGTGTGAGTAATGATGGCCTCACGTACCTACTGTCCCCTAAATAATGGCCGAACACTTACCATCTGCCACACTTGCATGATATTGTCTTCTGATACAGAACAAATCACCCAAGGTTCATTGGGATTCCAGGAGAAATCAGATATCTTGGCAGTGTGACCACCATGAATAAACTGGAAGAGGGACCAAAACAAATATATTTAAACACAGAACATTAAATCATAGTCCACTATTCAAAACACAGAAGACCCCAAAGTGCCTGAAGGTCTGTAACATACCAACAACTCTGGTGGGCCATCTTCTGCATCTTCTGGGGACTGTTCTTCTCCAATTTTACTTAACAAAAAAGAATTTTAAGTCAGAAAACATTACCATGTGTGGTAGTTTGAATGTAACTGGCCCCCATAAGCTCACAGGCACTATTAGGAGTTGTGGCCTAAAGAGGTCTCATATATCCAAGACATGCCTAGTTTCTCAGTTAACTTCCTGTTGCCTGCACAAAATGTAGACCTCTAAAGCTACCACTCTAGCACCATGTCTAACCTGCAGAGCTATGTCCCACCATAAAGGACTGAGAACCTCTCAACTGTAAGCTACTTAATTAAACATGGCTGTGGTCATGACTGTTTCTTCACAGAAAAAGAAATCCTAAGACAGCTGAGCACTTATCTTTGAAAAAATGTGAAGACAGCAACTTTGCCAGGCTTAGTGACACTTGGAGGTAGAGAAATGAATTTCTCAGAGTTTGAGGTCAATATACAGATTGAGCTCTAGATCAGGGCCACATGAAACTGTCTCCTCGAAACAAACAAACAAACAAACAAACAAACAAAAAACCCCAAACCAACAAACCAGTAACCAACACAAAACTCACCTTAAATCCCAGACATTCAGCCTACGGTCAGTACCACTAGAAGCCAAAATAGTCTCGTTGTGAGGTGACCATTGAACCTATATCCAAGAGTCAACAAAGATGCAACCAATTAGAAATAGAAGGGGAAAATATCTCAAATTATATCCTACAAAACTTTGTAAATAAAAGGCAGTGAATACTGCTAAAACTTACAGATATTTCTCTCTTCACAGGGTTTCTCTATGGCTTTGGAGCCTGTCCTGGCACTTGCTTTATAGACCAGGCTGGCCTTGAACTCAGAGATCAGCCTGCCTTTGCTTCCCAGGTGCTGGGACTAAAGGCTTGCGCCACCACTGCCTGGACAGCTACTACTATACCCCAAAGATTCCTTATAATGATGTTAGGTAAAAGATAACCACACACACAAAACTATCACAAATCCTGTGGCTGTTAAGAAAGTGCTGGTTTGCTGGGTAGTGGTGGCACACACCTTTAATCCCAGCACTTTGAAAGCAGAGGCAGGAGGCTCCTTGTGAGTTCAAGGCCAGCCTGATCCACAGAATGAGTTTGCAGGACAGCTAGGACTGTTAAACAGAGATATCCTGACTTGAAGAAGAAGAAAAAAAGAAAGAAAAAAAAATGTTAGTTTATGGCATTATTGACTAATGGGTTAGGGAAGAATTTAGATATTCTTCAAGCAAGACCATCACTACCACTACCACCAAGAGAAAGGAAATAGGACAATGACAAAACAGTCTCAACACTTAGGCCATTTAGATGAGGATGACCTTTTGTGATTCTCCCTCTTCCCTTTGAATGCTGAGATTAGCAGTAGTTCTAATGACTGTAGGGTGGTCTCTTACTAGATAGATACCTCAGGTGACTGTCTTGCTTCAGGTACCCTTTATGCTGGGATCAGAGGCATGCATGGACATGTCTGGTATCACTATAAAATTTAAGAGAGGGATGTGCCTAGTTAAAAAGGACACACGGTAGCAAAAGTTCCTGCATGTCAGGCAAGAACTCCACTAACTGTGCTTCCTTTCCAGGTCCTCTGATTTGTAAGGATCTCTTTACACGGTATCTTTCTGCTGTAGCTTCCCAAGGGCTGGGATTATAGGTGTATACAGAATTGTCTGTAAAGAGGGAAAGAACAGGGCAGGCAACCTAGGTTTTTCTTACTTGGAATATTTCATCCTTATGTGACTCAAAGGAATGCAACTTGAGTTTCAGGTTTCTCAGATCCCACAAGGCAACAGTCTATGTACAAAAGAAAACGAAATCAAGATCAACTTATAAAGGAAAGCCTAAGGCCAGCAAGATGGTTCAGTGGATAAAGGCACTTGCTGCCAAACATGAGTTTGATCCCAGAATCCACACAGTGGAAGGAGTAAACAAACTCTGGCAAGTTGTCTTCTAACCCCCCACACAAACGTCATGGTGTATGTACCCCCATCCCTGCCAAATACATAGTTCAGTTTGTGTATATATACACACATGTACCATGACAACTGTGCAGAGATCAGAGGTCAACTTGTAGGAGAGGAGTTGGTAATCTCCTTTAGTCTTTCAGGTCTTGGGGACTGAATTCAGATCTTCAGGCTTGGCAGCCTGATAAAATTCTTAAAAAAATTTAAGACAAGAATACCTTTAAAACATTAACTAAAGGTCTCCGTACATTTCATTTAACATATGCTGAAGATGGCTCAGTAGTTAAGAGTCCAGAGGAACAGCTCAGCACCCATTTGGTGTCACACAAACATTTGTAACCCCAATCCCAGGGGATCTAACACCCCCTTCTGGTCTCAACAGGCACCAGACATGTACAGCATGTGCTCAAGACATACATGTGGGTGAAGTTCCTTTACCCATAAAATATAAAACTTCAACAACAAAAAATCCCAAACAAAGAAAACTGACCTTGTCAGCTGATCCTGTGGCAAGAATGAACTCACTGTAAGGATTGAAAGACAGGCAGTTCACTTCAGCAGTGTGAGCATCAACCGAGTGGCTTGGCTTGGAAGTATTGTTCGAACGAGTATCCCAGCTTCATTTAAAGAGAGAGAATAGGAAAGGAAGCTTGAAATGTGACTAATGCAAAACTCTGAAAATGTAATAAAAAATAAATTATGGAGTCCACTCACATCATAAGTTTCTGATCGTCAGCAACAGACCCAAACAGAGACTCGTGGAGCAGATGCCAGGAAACGTCCTCTACTACTGCTGTATGCCCTGTGAAGATGGTCTTTGCATCCACCACCTTTCCTTCTTTTGGAACTGCACTGATGTCCCACAGGCAGATGGTCTTAAATTTAAAATTAACCATTATATAAATGATTCTCACTTCCCCCCATCTCCCCAAAAAAGAAAGCAATTGGCAACAATTCCAGATTTGAACCAAAACTGCAAGGATACGCACATGGTCATCTGAAGCACTAAGTAAGTGCCCACTGAGATTTGGATTCCAAGAAAGACCATAACCTTCCTTCTGATGTCCACGGAGACGTAAATCTGGGTTGCATTCTCCAGAAGGGTCTGCAAAGTAACAGATATATCTAGAATATCCAGTTGATTGTCTCTCTGGGCTTATTAAGCAAAATTATGCCATAAATGCCTATTATACAAAATATAGACCCATCATGACCAACTATACAATGCTGAAGTTGCAAAATCATGATTTTCCTCTACATAAAAGCACTGCTTTGCTTAAGAAACATAAAATACCCACACATATCAATACAAATAAGATGTTAAATTATAAAAATATTTGAGTAAATGGAATCTGTATCTGATTAAAAGGGAGAGGTACCTGGTTTAGAAGGGTGCTTTGTGTAGTCAAAAACAAGCACATCACTGGATGGAGTCTTTGTTGCAATGATGCAAGGGTTCTGGGGCATGTATCGAGCCCTGTTTACTTCTCCTTCATGGTTGATCTTGATTTCTATTTCAATTTTCCCACTGACAGAGCCAAAACCTCCGAATTCTGTATTTATAAGCAAAAAGTACTTAATGAACCAAGTGGTATAACTAGAAGACAGAACCATCTGGAGAACAGAAGTGCTTTTTATACATTTATAACTACAGATAGATTAGAAATAAGTACTATATAGCCAACTGAAATGAAGACGGTATGAATACCAAACCTGGTGTGGTAGTGCACACCTTTAAATCTTGGTGCAGCCAGACCATTGTAGTTAGAGGCCAGCCTGGTCTGCACAGTGAGCCTTAAGTGTTATGCTACTAGCGTGAGATCCTGTGTGTGTGTGTGTATACTACTCAACTACTCAACCTTGTGAGTCAATCTTTTTGCTTGTTCTCCAGGCAGGCTGTGACCACACATCTCAGACGGGCCCTCAATTCACTATGCAGAGGTTCGCTGTCCTTTCTTCTTTCTCTCACACCTTCACAGAATCTCATTCTATAGCCTAGCTTAGGCAATTCTCCTGACCGGAGTGCCAAGATCAAAAGTTTGATGATCACCATTCCTTGCTAAAAGCTTGTTCTTGGCAGTTTTCAAATCTCATTTGACCTAAAAATAACTCAGCAGTTAACAGTACTGGATGCTCTCCTGGTCACGAGTTCAAGTCCCAGCAACCACACAATATTGGTTAAGGTGGCTTACAATCACCTATATAATGGGATCTGGTGCCCTCTTCTGGCATAAAGGTGTGCATGCAGACAGAGAACTCATATACATAATAAACCTAACAAACAAACAAACAAATAAAAAAACCCTTAAAAATTAAATGTATTTTATATGTGAATTGGTGCGAAGGTGTCAGATCCCTTGAAACTTCAGTTACAGACAGTTGTGACCTGCAATGTGAGTGCTGGGAATCAAACCTGGGTCCTCTAGAAGAGAAGCTAGCACTCTGAGCTATCTCTCCAGCCCCAAAAGAAACCCTATTTAAAAGGCTAAGTCAGAGGCAGGTGGATCTATGAGTTCAAGGCCAGCCTAGTTTACAAAGCAAGTTCCAGGGCTATTACATAGAGAAATGCTATCTTCAAAAACAAAAGGCTAAGTTAAGAGGATCACCAGGAGTGCAAAGCTAGTCTTGACTTCTTAAAGGGAATTTCAAGGAGGCCTAGACTACAGAGACCCCGTCTAAAAACAAAACAAAACAAAAAACCCAAAGTCACACCCCGACCCCCAATCAACCAACGAAACTACCACCACCAACAAAACATTTCCAGTACCCCAGTAGGAACACGTGTATCTTTCTTAACCAATATGCTTACCCAAAGCTCCCTTACCCCAATTTCTAACACCTGAGTCACTTTTCTAGGCCATAAATCCTGTGGAATTTCTAAGAAAGTATTTTAACAGTACAAGCCAAGAAACCAAATTTTCATTTTCATTTCATTGTGGTGTGTGTTCGTTCCAGACAGGGTTTCTTCGTGTATGAACTCACGAAATCCACCTGCCTGCATTTCATTTTTTTAGGTTAGAAATGATTTATAAACAAAAACCAAACCTTTTGTCTTCGTGATGCTGGACATGACGCCCAGGGTCTTGCAGATGCTAGACAAGTGTTCTACCACTGAGACACAAGCCAATACCCAAGAAACTCAGACATCAGACATAAGTGTACCCATCATTGATGAAATCAACTAAAGTCACCATTCCGCCATGGGGTTACCAAGCCTATCCACTTATAGGTAAAGGAGTAAAAGGAAAACAAGGTGTGTAACCCTGGGGTAGTGTGATAGTCAAATTCAAAAATCTATAGCTGTGATCCACATTACTGTTTTGTTTTTTACTATTTCTGGGGAGAGAGAAGCCATTTTGAGACAGTTCAGTCAGGATCTTAATATGCAGACCACGATGGCCTTGAACCTGTGACAATCCTTCCCCATACGGCACTATGGCACACACCTACACCAACACACAAAACCAAACTGTAGTCAGAAGCAGCAGTTCAGTCATAGAGAGCATACTGTCCCAACTCCCCAAAGCAAGAGAAACATTCAGGGAATAGGACTCGATTCTAATCACATACACAGCAGCAAAATAGACAGATCAAAGTTTATCAGTTAAAGTACTAGAACAACCAACAGATGATATTTTGAAATCTTGGAACAGAAAGGCATTTCAAAGAAGGACAAAAAAGTTGGAGGACATCAGAGGAAAAGTTAATAATTCATAACTGTACAGTTTTTCTTAACAACAGCAGAGGCCAGGTTTGTTAACTCAATGTGTCCCAGAACTTAGGAGGTGAAGGCAGGGATGATTACAAGTTCAAGCCAGCCTGGGCTACAGGTTACATGAAAGCCCTTTCAAGAACAAGCAAAACAACACAAACTTAAATCCTTAACACTTCAAATAAAAGGAGCTTAAGCTTTGGAGGATGGAGAGGTGGCTTAGTGGGTAAAACATTTGCTACACAGCAAGCATGAAGACCTGAGTTTGAATCCTCAGCACCTACACAAAAGCCAGGTATGGCCTGGTGGTGGCACCTTTAATTAATCGCAGCAGAGGCAGGCAGATCTCTGAGTTCCCGGCCAGCCTGGTTTTAAGAGCTAGCTCCAGGACAGCCTCCAAAGCCATAGAGAAAGCCTGTCTCAAAAAACTAAAACACACCAAAAAGGGAAGGAAAAACAAAAAAAACAAACCAAGTATGGCTTTAAGTGTATCTGTACCCCAGAAGTAGGGTGTGAAGACAAGCAGCTTAGCTGACTGGGCAATTTGGAGGCACTACATCAAAGGATTAAATAGGAGTGACAGGAAGGCTCTGACTTGTCAGTTTGTTGGCATGGATACCTGCACCCACACTTTCTTGCATGCACTACACACAAAAAATGAGATGGGAAATTATTGAATCTACCATCAGAAAAGCAAATTATAAACCCGCATCACACTCAGGTACCAAGAAAAACACCTCCATGGATTAAGTACTGAACTCCCCTTGAACTAATTAATACCCAGCCTCCTGCCTCCACCTTCCAAGTGTGTATCACCATATATAGTTTAGAAACCAGGGCCTTGTGCATGCCAGGCAACTAACAATTGAGCTCTATCCCTAACTGTACATATACATGTGGGTGGGTGTACACATGCGTAGAGGTGAGAGAACAACTTTTGGGAGTTTTCTCCTCCTATAGATTCCAATGACTTAACTGTTCAGCTGGTTCACTGGCCTGTTTGTTTTCCTTTTTGAAATAGGAGTCAGTTACATTGCCCAGATTGGTATTCAATTGTGACCATTCTATCTCAGCCTGGAAGGTTATGATTACAAGTGTGTGCAACCATGCCACTCACATCATTTATTGAATGAGTGATTTAACATGTGGACTCCTTTAAGAAAGCAAGGTATTAGTTGGGTGCTGGTGGCGCACACCTTTAATCCCAGCACTAGGGAGGAAGAGGCAGGTGGATCTCTGAGTTTGAGGCCAGTCTGGTTTACAGAGCACATTTCAGGACAATCTCCAAAGCAATACAGAGAAACCCTGCCAAAAAAACCAAAAAACAAACAAAATACAACCCTGTCTCGGGAAAAAAAAAAAACAACATATATGAAACAATAGTAATCAGAATTGTTCATGCCTATACCAAACCACATTTATTTTGTTGTATGAATGAGCTTCAGACATGCTAAAGCAAGTATTCCACCACTGGAATTACAACTCCAGCCCCCAAATACAATGCAAACACAATTTATCTCATTTAGATCAGAGGATGTACATCAGTAGTAGAACATTTAGCCTTAAAACATACAAAACACTGGGTTCAATTATTCAGGAAATCATAAAAAAAAAAAAAAAGACAATTCATTTCATTAAATGAATAGGAACTGGACTCAAGTTAAACCACTTACCCTAAAAGCTCACAGCTAGGCTGGGCCTGTTAACACACACCTTTAATCACAGCACTTGGGAGGCAGAAGCAGGCGGATCTCTGTGAGTTTGAGGCCAGCCTCCAAAGCAAGTTTTAGGACAGTCATGGCTATATAGAGAAACCCTGTTTTGGAAACCAAAAACCAAACCAAAACCAAAACCATATAGCTAAGATAGTGGCAAAAAGGATCTCCACCCATCTAAACTCTTAAAGCCAGTGTTCTCCTTCTCCACCAACCCATACGCAGGGATCCAGAGACTTTCCAAAAAAACTATTCACTTGGGCAAATCACACAGAATTGTAGTTGACTATTACCCTAACAACCAATTTTGCACTCTGTACCACCGAAGATGCAATGTGGAACGACCAGCAAGTAAATAGCACACACACAACTGTTATCCTAGCCAGTAGCTGGATCCCAAATAAACTTAAACATGAAGAGTTATTTCTGCTAATATCCAGAAACATTAAAAACTGAATATAAGGAGCACAAATGTTAATAAAAGAAGCCCATTTTTTTTTTTTTTTTTTTTTTTCTTTTTTTTTTGAGACAGGGTTTTTTTTTGCTGTTTTGTCTGAGACAGGGTTTTATTCAAGGAAACTCCCCTACTGACCCCCCCCCTTTTGACGTTTTGGTATGAAGGCCATAAAGAAAATTTACCGATTGCTATCTGAAAAAAGGAATTCATGAACAGCTACTCTTATGGCATCTTCTAAGAATTAGGTTGTTGAAATCTTTTATGAATATAATGGGTACTATGTCATTTCTTGTATCTTAAACCTTTAAGAAAGTTTTAAGACTTTCTGCCCCTTTATCCCCAATGAAACTGCAGTAGTACAGATACACTGAAAGCTCTGGGGACCATGCAGACTATGGTTTCTATTTTGAATTAGGGAAATCACTAACTAGCCCCAAATTGGCGGGTAACTTGTGATCCTCCTTGAGATGGCTCAGCAATTTAGAGCACCTGTCTGCTCTTGCAGAGGACCCAGGTTCAATTCTTGGTGGCTCACAAATGCTTATAACTCCATCTGCAGAGGATCCAACACCCTTTTCTGGCCTATGTGGGCATCAGACACACAAGGTGTGCACATACATACACGCAGGCAAAACACCAACCCATACCCATGAATTAATTTCTGTCTCTTTGGGTCAATGTTGCTCCTGTTGAGAATACACACCAAAAAAAATATGGTAGATCTTTACTACATTAACTGCAGAAATCTCACCATGACCAGTATAGTAGAGACAGCTTACAGCAAAAGCACAGAACCGAGTTTTGTGTTGATGACTCTTGATTGCAAACTAGCTTTCCCAATAACTTAAACCTAAGAGGCTACCCCCGCCCAATTATGTACCTCCTCGATGACAATTCAGACAGGAAACATATAATCCACAGACCATTACTTCTTTTATCCTACCTCCTTTCTCACTGTCATAGTGAGATGCGTCAAACTGAGCATCATCGTTCGGAAGCTGGACACTGGCTATCACCAGGTGGTTTTGTTCATCTGACGTATGTGTTCCCAGGACAAGCCGGTGAATGCTGAAGTCTTTTCCTTCAGGCCTGTAATAACAGATGGTCACTATTCAAGTTGGCAACCCAAGATAACATAAAGTCAGCAACATACACATGACAAACAAAAAACCCCAAGCAGTTCAATTGAGATAGTGAGAACTAGTTCCTACTTTAAAAAACAAAACCCAGCCCCCCGTGCTTAAATAGACATACATATAAATGGATACTGGAGAACAATAAAGTGTCACTCACTCTTAAGATTCTGTTCATGGCCGGTTGTGGTGGAGCAGGCTTTTAATCCCAGAACTCAGGAGGCAGGAGTTTCTACATGAGTTCTAGGACAGCCAGGGCTATTACACAGAGAAACCCTTTCTCGAAAAAGCAAAATCAAAAAAGAGGCTATTCACCTCCATTAATATAAGGCTTGCTTTATTGGCCTGGAGCTCAGCAACTAAGTAAGCATGGCTGGTTGTTGAGCCTGAGAGATCATCCTATTTCCTATATCCCCATCACTGAGGCTTCAAGCATATACCACCCTGTTTTTTTTCTTGTCTGTCTTGTTTTGTGGTGTTGTGGATTGACTACATGTTCCTATTTACTGAGTCATTACTAAAGTCCCTGTTTTCTTTAAAAAACAAAAAACACACAATCAAAAAGATGGTTCAGTAATTAACAGTGCTTGCTGCTCTTACAGAGGACTTGAATTCAGTTCCTAGCTCCTATGCTAAGTGACCCACAACCACCTGAAATTCTAGCTCCAGGAGACCCTGAACACTCACACTTCATAAAACAAATGAAGACTTTTGTGGATCTGTTCTCTTTCCATCACATGGATCCAGGTGACCAGACTCAAGTTGTCAAGCTTGGCAATAGGCACTTTTACCCACCTAGTCAACTTGCTAGCCTCTATTCCCTACCCCTCCGTTTTTCGAGGAAGGGTCTCTCTGTGGCTTTAGAGTCTGTCCTGGAACTAGCTCTTGTAGACTAGGCTGGTCTCGAACTCACAGAGATCCGCCTGCCTCTGCCTCCCAAGTGCTGGGACTAAAGGCATGTGCCACCACTGCCTGGCTTATTTCCTACTTTTAATGACCCTCTATTAAGGCCAGACAGGGCACAAGCACAGAACTTAATTTTTATTTAACATGGCCAAAAATTTAAAACACGATAGAGAATTTTTTCTCCCAGTTTATTGAAATAAAGTGAGTTAACAATGGGTGAGAAGAAAACAATTGCCTGATATTTTTGTTTTTATCAAGAACTTTGGGGCATAAAACCCAATAGTAGAGTTTGTGCCTGGTCATGTGCAAGAGTTCTTATATCCCCTAAAAGAAAAATATTAGGTAGGTGGTGGTGGCACCCACCTTTGATACCAGCATTTGGGAGGCAGAGGCAGAGGCAGGTGGATCTCTGCAAGTTAAGACAGCCTGGTCTACAGAGCTAGCTACTGAATACACTGCCTCAAACATTTTGGAAGTAGGGATGATTCTTGTTTTTGTAGTTCCCCCTAGAACCTTGCAGGGGGCACAGAGAAGCATTATGAGAACCAGGAATGTTACTCTCACAGGGGTGTCTCCTCAATGGAGGAGATACAAATTCAATACTTGCGTCCAGAAAGCTGAGAGTGGAGGTTAATGACACAATGACCCTTTTGCTATCTGTAGGGACAGATCTCACCCTAAATCCCCAAATGATTATTCCAGACTCTTTCCCCCCCAGACCCATCCTACAGGTCACCAGTATTTTATGGCCTGCTGACCTCTATGCTATCGGTCAGAGACCACACTAGATTCCAGGTCTTTTTGTTTAGCTTCATGTTCACATGTACTTTGTAAAGAATTTCTATGAAGTTACATTTTATGCTTTATTGTGCACATGTAATTGGACTGATTGTTGCCTGGAAACTTTCCCCCAATTGTATTGTTTTAAATATGGTGATAATGAACTGCCTGGCAATCGACTCCTTGAAGTCTTATCCAGGTTGGCAAGTCAACCTGCAGTTTTCATTCTTATCTCTGCTGGGTTCACTTCCCTGCCAGGATACCTGCAGGGACCCCCTCAGAATCTAGAGTTGGGTTTCTCTTTCTTTCCTCCCAGTATGTACGTATGTGTGCTTGTAAACAGAAGCCACAACTTGACAATGGGTCTCTTGACCTCTTTCCTCTAGACAGACCGAAGACAAACCTACCTTGAACCCAGAACTCACTGGCTTTGCTAGCATAGCTAGTTTATTTCAGTGACCGCCTCTGCCTCTGCCTCCCGGAATTACAGGTGTGCTGCCATGGCCACCTGGCATTATATACCAGTGCTGAGGTTTGAAATGTGGTCCTTATAATCGCTTCATTTACTGTAACACCTGCCCAAACTAATGCTTTACACATGCAGGTAAGCACCTACAGCTGGGCTACATACATTCCTACCAGAAAATACTGAGATCACACATGATTCCCTGGGGCTAGAGATGGCCCAGCACTTAAGAATACTGGCTGCTGTTTCAGAGAGCCCTGGTTCAATTCTCAGTGCCCACACGGAGGCACAACTGTCTGTAATCCAGACCCAGGGGGACCCAATGCTATCTTCTGGCTTCAGTAAACCCATGCACACTGCACATACACGAACAGACAAAATATGCACACACATAAATTCAAAACAAATTAAGGAAAAAACAAACAAAACAACAACAAAAACAAACAAACAGACACAACTCCTTAAAAAGCCAAGAGCAGGTGATGGAGCAAAAGAGCACTTGCTGCTCTTGCAGAGGACCTGGGTTCAGTTTCCAGCACCCACATGATGGCACACAACTGTCTGGAAATGGAGCTCCAGTGTATCTGACACCCTCTTCTTCTGGTCTCCCCAGGCACCAGGTACAGAAAATAAACAAAAACCCTGTGCTGGTCATGGTTAGTCTTTCTGCGAAGGTGACACACACCTGAATCAACCGAAGAATTACCTCCATCAGACCGGCCTGTAGGCAACTCTGTGGGTATTTTATTGATTACTGACTTATGTAGGACCTAGCCCACTATGGGCAGGTGGGCCTGAGTTATGTCAAGAGAGCAAACTGAACAATCCAAAGTGTTCCTCCATGGCCTCTGCTTCAGTTCCAGCTTCCAGGGATCCGTGATGGACTATAAACTATAGCCTCTGATCATGTGTTTTATCTCAGCAATAGAAAGCAAACTAAAACATCCGCATGCAAAATAAATTTTTCTAAAGTAAGAGTAATCAGTCATGTACATAAATACTAGGCAGTATATACCACATGAAGACACAAAAATAGTTGGAATTTAAAAGCTAAGAGGATATAGGTCAGCGGTAGAGTGTTAAACTAGTATGCATGAGCTCCTAGGTTTAATTCAGTAAAACAAAAAATTAATACTGGGCTGGGCTAGATTTAAATACCACAATGCTATAAAGAATTATTCCAATTTGAATTGAAAAATTTGTTATTTAGGAAAATTAGACAATGTGGCTAAGATCACACAGCTACTAAGTAACAGAACCGAGACTAAAGTCCAACTCTAGCTTTGGAAATGGAAAAGCCAAATGAGAAACAAATCACTGCCTAAATTCTTGGAATGTCAGCTCAAGGCAGTCTGGATTATATACTGTAAGAAACAAGGAATATTAAGTTTCAAAGAGACATATTTCTGCTCTACCTCCTAAGTGCTGGGATTACAATTGTGTACTACCACACATCCTCTCAACACAAATGGTTTAACAACCACTGAGAACAGATAGAAACGACTCTACTAGGGGCTGGAGAGATGGCTCAGAGGTTAAGAGCACTGCCTGCTCTCCCAGAGGTCCTGAGTTCAATTCCCAGCAACAACATGATGGCTCACAACCATCTGTAATAAGATCTGGTGCCCTCTTCTGTCCTGCAGGCATACACGCAGGCAATAAATAAATCCTAAAAAAAGGACTCTACTAAGCTTGAGGGCTTGTTTTTGTTTTTCGAGACAAGAGTTTTGCTGTGTAGCTTTGGAGCCTATCTGGAGACTAGGCTGGCCTTGAACTCGGAGATCTGCCTGCCTCAGCCTCCAGAGGGCTGGGATTAAAGGGCCTGGCCCAACTAGTTTTGAACCTGATTACATTCCCAACCCCAAACTTCTGGATGTCTGCCAAGGATTTGCACAGCGCCCTTCATTTTCCTCTACCTGCCCCAAAGAGGCGACAGCCTCATTCTTCAGTAACACACATGCACAAAACAGAGATGTAGCTCAGAGGTACCGCCTGCTTTCCGTGGACAAGGTTCAATCCCTAGCACTTCAAACAAAACAACTCTTTACTCCAAATTTCTGGGACTTGTTGAACCTAACTACTCTCATAACCGATTCTGTACATACCTTACTGAGTTTCAAAAGAATTTAGCATGGAGTTTGCATCAACAATAATCTACACTCACCTTTATCTTTGTGTAGCCACCCGCTTCCTTCTGCAAGCTAGTCCTGATATTTCAAGTCGAAAAAAGTTTCCCTTGGTTAGAACATTTTGCGCATTCAAGTTCACTCTACGACCGAAGGATCAAAGTCCCGGCCAGTAAGCGCTCGATCACTAAACATTACACGCCCCCAGACCTCTTTTCAGGGGTTACCTCACCACTTACCTAAAGCCTCGGACCTCTACCAACCAGACAAATGTTTGTCTTCTAAACCTCGTCAAGTTTTAACACTTACACTCCGACAACTACAGTTGTAAGATGGCTGGCTATTCGTCTCAATGTAGAGGAAGAAAACGTACGTTTTCTCTCGCAAATTACAAAATTATTTTGTTTTCTTACTTATTGGTCGATGAAAATAAACATCACTCATAGTCTCTGATCATATTGCCGCTTCTGACAGACCGGAGGAAAGGAAAAAAAAAAAAAAAACCCACGGAAAACCAATTCAAGACATTAACTACCAAAGTTAATAGCCAAGAGATTGCTGTCACCTGGTTACATCTGGAAGCCACTGGGCAGTTAAACTGGGCCACTCCATGGCATGCACCATCACCAAATCATAAAGAAAAGGGGTATTCTTCTTCCATATTTTGTATTCCTCATTGATCACACGCTCTTCCACCGCGTCGTCAAAGGCAGCTAAAATGTTTTTAAAAGACAAGTTAGCCAACAGAAACGGAAAGCCTGTAAACCCTCTTCTAGCCACGGGCGCAGCTCCCGGGCTCTGCCACTGAAATGGAGATGGATTCGTCTTAATCTCCCGGGGCGCGGGCACCGAGGCGACAGTCTCGGCCGCGGAG